TGTGCACGGCTACAGTGAACCGGGAAAAAACTCGCAAGCGTTGTACCATCATTAAATTTGCAGTGGGAATAGTAGGTTTCACACACAAGACCAGAAGCAAAATTGCTTCTTAGTCCATGATTGGATAAATATGCTTGAGCGACTTTCGTGATCTCTGATTGGTTCAGACTCAATGCCTGTCCATGATTAGACATAAGGTGAAATACGTAGGAATTGTATGGAGAAATTGAACAAATAGTAGGAAATATCTTCCTACAACTTCGATTTTGTCGGTATCAAATATGTCCATCCGGAAGTTTTTGTCTTTGTTTCACTATTGAAATTGGCGGAAAACAACCGGAAGCAATTTTACAGCGTCTTGAATGAACACGTAGGAAAATTTTTCTTTGATTTGGATAGCCAATCAAATAGCTCAAAAACAGAGAAAAGGCGACCAATAGGACACAGCAATGGGAGGCTCTCATTCATGAACATGAGTACCAACAGCAATTTCACCATCGAAGGAGCGCGCCGCAATCACATCTCAGACAGCACACGACTCGATACTTGTCCGGAATTAAGCAGGTAGTCAACTGGGCAATCATGACAGGGAAGCCAGAGCTCCTGATGCCAAGCACCGAGCATGTGGGTCGCATGACCTTAGATCTGCGCGTGTTTGCGTACGAGAACTTTTTGTAGTGCATTGTCTGGACAGTGCGGGAGCGAGATGTTGGGCTAGGCGCCCTCAGTGGCTACCGCAGTGCAGTGAAGCGTTTGTACATCGATCAAGGCGTTGACCTCCCGGAGCCATACGACAACGACATGAAGGTTATTTTTTCGGGTACATTCATGGATATTTTTGCAAAAATGAAATACAGGTGATTTAGGGATTCGAAAGTCCATCGCCCAGAACCTTCAAAGTGGATCCGAGGAATTTACTGGCAAGCGTCCAATGTCGTTCTCGGTGTTTGAACAACTTTGCGCGGCAAGCATGGGCCTGCCCAATTGCGGATTTACGCATCTCTACCTTGTCCTCTCGTGGAACTTGATGTGCCGCTCCAAATCTACGGAGACGATATGGTACCAATTTACTTTATTCAGAGCAAAACAATATCCATTAAAATTTCGTGGTAGATTCGAGCACATATCGTGTGAGGACGATGTCATTGGGTTCGTCTTTCATAAAACTAAGACAAGCCAAGAAGGTATTATCGCAATTTTTGTTTCGATTGGTTGGCGTGGAACAATAT